TTCCTACAGGGGGCTGCTTTTTGTGTTACGCTTATGCGGAAATTTTTAGCTTTTCAGTTATCTCATCACTAGACTTGCGATATTGCCACAGGAAATCCTAAGAATGTGAGAATTTTTTAGTTCAGACACATTCCAGTAAAGGATGTAAATTATTCACTGGAAACTTTTTCTTTTTGAGGTGTGCAACGGATGGTACACTTGGGTTTGAGATAGCTTAGTAGATAAGGCGCTAGGTTAGTAGCTGGAAGATAAGTACTTTAAAAAAAATCCCTTCATCTCGACTGCTTCTAATTAGGCCTGAAAAACTTGGCAGTACCACAGACTTTGAGATTTCATTGAATTGCATAGCATCTGTGTTCCAAAAAAGGGCTATAGATGAACGTCAAGCCACACTCTTACAACAGCCTTATGGGGTGCTGATTGGAATGTTGTTCCAGGACTACTTTGACCAGGAGGCGCGTTCGCTATGGTTTACTGTGTGTTTTCATCGAGGTGCGTTTAGCGCTGTAATATATCACACTGGGCATTAAACGCGTATTAACGTCTCATATTGCCAGTTTCTTTAAAGGATTCATATCACCGACAGCTTTCGTATGAAAGACCTATGCAGAATTGTACCACTGCTTTGATTTGTGGCATCTAAGTCTACTGTTTTTATGCATAATTGTCATCAGTATCGTTATCAGCAGTATCGTTGTTTTGTGTAGGCTATTACTTGTGCACGAAAAACGCCTTCTGGCTTAAGCGAGTAAGGTGCCTTCGTATCGAGAGCAAACCTCGAAAGGCAGTGTAAATGAAAGCGAGACCGGGCCACTTTGTTCACTTCTTGGACACGTCTATGGACACCACTTCGTAAAGCAACAGATGAGAGACTTGCAGAAAACATTTGAGAACACTCCTCGTTCTTGACAAAAATATGGATTTCAACAAAACACTTTGGTAATAGCCATAGCTCTGGGAAAGGCTCTAGGCCGTGATCTCTAAATATGACAAGGGGGAAAACAAAAATTCGATCAGCGAATTCTCCTGACTTGATGGATGCGAACCGTCACATCAAAGTTCAAACTCAACCTTATATGATGCAAAATGAGAAAGCAACGCAAAAATGACGTCTATTCAATATTTATGAAGGTAGAATCAATTTTGTTTGTTGTATTACTTTTATTGGACCCAAAACATTAAATCTTCATAGTTGTCGTTCAGATATATTGGTCAAAAGACAACAAATTCATCAGAGGAATAACGCTTGGATTAATATTTACTGAGCCATTATACATGTTCAATATTTTTCCAATTTTTCCGGATGAAAACCCCATTGAAAAAGGAAAAAGTAAACCCAATTTAATGCACAGACCGACCGTTGTTTTGTCTAAGAGCTGTAAAAATCGTCATTTTGCCACTGCTTCTAACATATTTGAGTGCAAAACGTATAATATACAAGGGTACTCTTCCACGGATTCGGAATAACCAAACCATTTAATCTCGGTCCTCAATCCATCGCATTTTTATTTTTCTGACACGAAATTAGGAGTAAACCCAAAAAATACCAAAGCAAACTGTGCACATCAAAAGGTTTTAACCACATTGAGTGGCAAATTCTACGCCACAAATACCACAGTGGGTGAACAAGGACTTAATGGTACTCCGAGCCGGACAAGTTAGGATATACCAGAATCAGGAGGACTAGAATAAAAAAGGGAGTGTGCTATCACTATAGAGGCGCAATAAAATGCACGAGGACGGCGTACGAAGTAGGGTTAACCAAGTCTGCTGTAGCAACGCCATAATAATGTACATACGCGTCAACCAACTCAGAGAGGATACGAATCAGACATTACTCAACAAGACTCAGAATATCAACAAATCAGTGCGCCGTTGTGGACCTGACTGTTGTCTCTTTTTTACCGCAGTGTATCTAAAAATGCCTGAAGAACTTACTGACGTTTATCCAGAGCTTACCAAAAGAACATGGGAAGAAAAACGGCAAAATGGGCGCTTTTGCAAAAAGCACCTTGGACAACTCAATTATATATGGCTTCTAGCACAATCCATTTTTGCGTCAAGGTGAATAACCAGGCTGGAAACAACGGATAATAGCTTCGAGTCAACGGATATAAATCTGTTGGCAGATGAGATCTTCCAAAAAATGTCCCACTTTAGTATGATTACGCATCGCAAAAGCGTCTGGTTAAAAGCGATACACTACACAAAGCGTGCAAAGTTACAAAACAATCAGCGGGATAAGAATCACTCAGCAGTTGCATGCGGACCTTGTGTACAAGCGACGCTGGAATGTAAGTGTATGTAAGTTGTTTATAACTCACACTAACGACAAATGGCTCGTGTTAGCTATAAGTTGTTGGACCACAAATATTTACTCCGCACATTATGACAAGATTTAAGTTGATTTTACAACAACACACGAGCTATCAACAGTCCTCTCGATATCAGATCTCAAACTGTGGGTGTAAATCAACAGAGCAAACAACAACCGTAAGCCACAAGTATATCGACAAAATCAATTGCTCCCTTACAACGCACACGCATATTACCAAATGGCGTTTTTAGACAGATAAAACGGACAGCAATGCAAGACCCCGCTTGTGATAAGCACTTTCAACATCCGTGGCACCATGAGAATGACTTCAGAATTAAATTCGCATAAAATTTGCAAACAACTCAGCTCTCAAAGTCATGTAAACACCATGGCAAGGTTATTATCCACACAGTCATTACATTACTGACTTCTCTAACCAGGCCGTTACAGTACCTTACCACTGGGTAGAATCATTTTGAGAGTATGTCAGTGATTGCGAGATATCTGCCAACAAAGCCGGTCTTCCGCCTGTGATTGCCGTCTGCTAACCGGCTACTAAGATAATAACCGTTAAAGTATAATAAGTTACTAGTGCAAACAGCAAGAGCATCAGCAGTAAAACAGTTTTTAGGCACAAGAAAATCACTTCAATCTGTTTAAGGAAATCCGAAATCAAAGCCCTGGTAAATGTGACCTTAAATACGGCGGCCAGACCAGTGGTGAAAAATAAGTAGAAAACTAAGATGCAAAAAGACTAATACCTTTTTACTATCAATCTTTTAATCAATTGTACGTCAAGCATAACACAGCGATATGCGGAAACTATCACAAGGACCATATAACTCAGGAGAGTGTACGGTCCGTGCAACACATTTGGAAAGTTCCTAGCAGTTTTATGCTATTAGGAATAGCCCATTTAAAAACGTAATATTCACTTCTGAGTCTATAAAACTGGTACTCAAAAGCCTAGAGTGAGTGAACTGTTGAACACATCATCAAAAGCAAATTCTTGTCAGCCTATCCCCAGTTTCGTTTTATTCTGTATGCGCACTATGAACTAAGTCGACTCAGAGAAAAGTGCGTGTGTTTGCCGGTTCGTCCCTCATTTCCTTTGTTTTACACTCTACTTGGAATAGAGCGCAACGAGCTAAATATTCAACTCACGCAGTGATCATCACTATATGACAAATACGTATTCCGATGGACGTCAATTTTCAGTTTGGTTCATTTTTAGAAAAAGCAACGCATTATCTTCTGTTTTGGCGTAATTAATGATAAAAACTATCGCCAGAAGCTCCCAATTTTTTGGAGAAAAATGAAACTTTTATTTGTTACAAATGGAGGTTTTTGTCAGCCAAAGACAACGGATAGTGAGAATCAATAACTCACAGTTGTTGATAGTGTGAGCAATGGGTTCCAGCGTGGGGTCGTCTTTGGCCTACTGCTTTTCATCGTCTACATTAATCTTCTGCCGCCAAATCTTGCCCACCACGTCTGATGTTTTTTGACGAACTCAAGATATGCAAGGTTGCAAACTCGGTGGGACAAACATAAATTACTAGCAGCCTGTATAAGCTGGCGCAATAGTGAAAAACAAAATGCTTACCAAAATCAGAAACCTTGGGCTATGATGGTTTGTCTACAAGGCGGAACGGAGATCTTCAACATAAAAAGAGAGCTTGGATCCTAGATGCAGATCACGCGTGATCTTGCAACTCTCAAACCGAGAAGTCTCAAAACACGCGCTCACAAAGTTCCGGACGGGATAAAAGCCTTAAGGTTGTTTAGATGTTTAGAAGTACTTCCAAGACGCGGTGACCAACTCTCTTTTGAGTGACTGATGCTACTTTCATAAAACTAGTGATTCTATATGGGCAGCCAACACAACAGCTATACAGCAAAATCTCTGAAACTAGTGCAGCTGTAATAGAAACGAATGATCATGGGAATGCAAGGACAAATATAGAAGCCGACGGTGCCAAATCTTGGATCTCTATAAGCAACCTTCTAGGCGTCTTTACTCGGAGTGGTAAAACGATAGGTTCTTAGAACTGATGCAAGTGCTTCTCCTAGTGCACGCCCCAGACGAAGATCACAAGTAAACGCTTAAAGTACAGCGAACTAGTGAACTAACTCATGCCCTTTAACTTTTGGGTCGTATAACAACAAAATGAAACAAACTTCCAGCCCAGACCAACACATTATATGTATCTTCTTACGACTGCTAACACTGGGCGTATGTCGATACAAGCACCTCAAAACATTTAATGCAACTAATGTGATGGAACCAACAAGAACTAAGGATCAAGAAACCGGATTAGCACAAGCTGGCGTGATCAGAAATGGCTGCTGGTACATCGCTTGTTCGAAAAGACTAGATAATCGTCAAGAATTTGCAGATTCGGAGAGGACTAACAACAAACAGGAATAGGACGACGAACCCAGGCAGTAATTTGAAACGTTGAGGAAAACCCATATTGTGATGATCGAGGTCATTTCGCGTAGTGTGAACTTCAAGCCGAAATTGACGCCTCTAACCACACGAAGCAGTAGTGATCTCAAGTGATCCCGATCAGAATCAGAATTTAACTCCTCTGCACACTTATAAGTGTCCAGAGGAGTTAGTTAAAAATATCTCACGATATATGGAGAAAAAACGTGTGCAAGATTTGTAATTGCTCACCAAACCTTAACGCATGTGGATGCGTCAGTTGCACCAGATTGGGCAACAGTTTTTCTTGTTTATTTGCTGGTTCCAGTCCACGAGTAAATGCCTCTATGACTGCTGGTAAACGTTCCTGGAGGGCTGAAAATTATTATCAATTTGACGCACTTTGTATACAAAAGATCCTGTTCCGATATAACTATCCGGAATATCCATTTTGGTGGTTGCGAAAGATAACAAACGTTTTTTCTTACACTCATCATCTGGAGTTATAGATCCACGCTTGGTCAATGCTGCAGCTGCTCTCGAATGGATAGCTTCTACTGAATTGTGTTCTTGGTATTCTTTCAGTTGCGTCTATATGTGTCGTTATTGAAAGAAATTTGCATCGGATATTCCGGGATTACCAGTGGCTCTATGAATGGTCTGGCTGGAACCGAAGTCCTTTTGTATTGTGCTATCGTAGGTTTCCTGAAGCATAAACGTCCTTTTATTTTTTCGTCGATAAGTAAACGCATATCCACATCGCGGTGGACCATTTTTTTATTGTAATTCAGAAGCTTATGAAAGCAAATTTCATTTGTGCATTGATCGTATTTCTATGACAATGTGCGTTTTTAAAAATTTAAACAACATGCCAAGGTAGTTAAAGGTCATATGTTCGGGGCGTTGAGTATTAACACAGCTGAACGAGCATCGGTGACAGAAGGTGCCGCAGAAAATGAAAAACCCCAAACGCACGGACAGTGAGCAAGGATCACTAAGCGAACAGGCTGTCTGCTTAAAGCTGATCAGAATGAAGGTAGGCTCACATACTGCCCATTCTACCAAAAGTAACAAGAAACATATACCCTTGTCTGAATCATTCGACATGCGCTTCCAATAAAAGAGAGTGAGGAAAGGGGAAGTCATGGATAACATACAGTACCTAAGGAAAGAGCCCTTTGCAAACAAAGAGCTAAAGGGCTCTGAGTGTGTGCGTCATCCCTGGAAAAGTTCGGGGAATAAATTTTCCTATTTTGCGTTATCAAATGTTTTGGAAGTTCTCTACGACGGAATGATGTATTCCAAACGTTTACCACTTCATTACGGAAGAAGCATCTGAATACTTTAAAGTTCGATCTTCGCCTTAATGTGAACCGGCGGTACTCGAGCTACTTGTTTGAGATTTACAACATGCGCAAAGCAGAAGCCTGCCGTAGAGGTGGGGAAGCGTTTAGTAAACTCGTTCAGAGTCGCTTGCTTTTAGAGTGTAAAAATGGATGTTGACGCTGCAAGGCACTGGTCAAAAGATTGGCAACTTATTCTGGATGACGAAAAATGCGTCCATATGTCACTCGTAAGAGAATCGGCGGGCGCCTTTTTTTCGCATGATGACCAGAGGGCATTAAGATAAAGAATACCAAAATGATCTAGGTATCTGTACCTCATCATCATCTCTTTCCCGTCGTACCATAAAAAATCGGCCCAACAGGCACTCGCCGTTCTGCTGACGATTTAGCGCAACTTTCCACCTCACTGCTTGCAAGTACTTCTATGTACAGTCCGCGGTTTACGTTAGACCGCTTCTTGAATGCCCCGACCATATTGCCCGCTTAAGACGCAAGAAGGACGCAGCCCTCATTGAGTGTGTTTAACGAGTCTTTGCGAAGATGGCTGTTGACCTCCAATTAATTTGTCAAAAAACCCGTCCCGAGGCGCTTGAGGGGGTCTAATGCTTACCTGCTCCTTGTTTGGAAAAGGTTTGAAAGAAGATTGGTTCACCGTTAACCCACCGAATATGCTGGAGGATAAGATAAAACTTCCAAGCCAAGAGCGCAGATTCTTATTAGGCAACAATTTTCCTCATTTCCGGTTTTCGGCGCACGGAATACGTTCCCGCCGACTGTTGTTCGAGTCACATCTGTTATCCAGTTCAAGGTACTTTTAGATGCCTTATATGCGATTCTTCGTGGTTGAACAATGGGTGAAAACCTCAATCCTGATTATCAAGCAGCGAATCCGTGAACAGATGCGGGGACCACAGTATCATTTCATAAAACGTACGGTGTGTCTCAGTAAAACCCGCTCATCAAGCCCCTGGACTTTCAAGATATAAAGGCCAGCCTGTTGTACCCTAAGTAAAGTTCACGTGCATATGGCAGCGTGAATCAAAGACAGCTGGCTGCAGTTGGCCATTGCACATCTGGGACTAAACAGGGCACCAAGCACAAATTTGGCCGCTAGATGGTAGTACTTCCATACTGTCATATTTGGAGATGCAGAAGTCCCGGATCTCTAGTCCCCGCTGCTTTTACATACTGCCGATGCAGTGCTCGTCCATAAAAACTGTTAACCATCATTGCACCGCCTTTTGTAAGCGCTGGTTAAGATGCATTGGGAACTGGTGAACCCCAACGTTTAAAGAGATCATTTTGAAGACCCTCATGCACGCTCTGTGTGAGAGGCATTTTTAACTCTCCGACAAGGGCGGGAGATTGGCTCATCAGTATACCAGGTGGAGCACTGACGTATGTTAGAAGCAACAATATTATTAGACTGGCTGTTGTGCACTCTGACTGCTCACTGCAACCGTGCGCCACAAGGTGCATATTTGCGATATCGGTTAGGCTGATTTCTTCAGGAACCACTTGATCTGCGATACTGAGCGATTACCCTAACCGCATGCACCTAACTCTGCACACTCCCTAATGGCCAGCGGTTTCCTTGGTTATCTTCCAAGTCGACGTACCTGGAAGATGGGATTTTGGGGTGGCACAGCTTGATGTTGTAAGTGCAACGCGCCGCGGTTTTTGACGTTAAATTCGAATTCGCTCAACGGCAAGCAGCAGTGACTAGCCGTCTTCCGGTGTGGTAATGTGGTCACTGCCACCAAAAAGCCGCTAGCGTGGTCGCTGTACGCTAGATTGGGTAATTTTTATGATGGTTGTTATCATTTGGGTATAAGAATATCGGTTGCGGGCAAGAAACACGTAATGCTCTACATCAATGCTCACGCTGTAAGAACCTCATGGCACCCAGTCGGCTTAGAAAGTAGATGGCCAGACGAGAGCGGCTAAGTCTGCCATTGCGTTTCACCCGCTTAGGATGTTCATTGCGTTCGTAGTAAGTGTGGGGCCTCCTCCACTTCACCGCCCTGAGTGCTTTAGAAAATCGGACTCAATCGATTTTCACTTATTTCCTCCAGGCGGCTGTTAATGGAGTTGGAAACAAATGACAGTTTCGTGGTTGATCGATAGATTTTGGAAAGGCTGCGCCTCTGATTCTTTAGAAGCCGGCTACGTTTTAAGCCGCACTTGGAGAATAGCATGCAATGAGGAAGCTGTACTGACTTGTCTGTCATGCGACCCCTGTCCACACACAGGCTCCGGCAGCTCGCCCATGGCGTGGTCTTACTAATTATCTCCAACTCTGATACGTCGCTACCGACGCGCAGTTTTACGCGCTTCACCTCCTGTTGTTGACAGCGGACCACGTTTTCTGCTAGTGTTAATAAAATAGCTCGTATATACGTCTGCTTCCTCAATATGATCTACTGCTTGTTATTGACATGCACGACTGGTTTTCACTAGCAATGTTTCCGGTTGCTTTTCTGGGCTGTTCTTTGGTGAGGTTTGACACTGCTTTTGATTTGTAGTTTGTGGAAATTAACGAGTGCTGCGCAATTTGTTTCCTTGAAAAGGGCAGACAATCCATTTATCGCCACTAAAAACAGGCGACTCGCTGGGTTGAATCTCCACGATCAGATTACAGCAAACAGCTTAAAGGTGACATCTTTTCATCTTCAGCTAGTTTTGTTGTAGAATGTAAGATCGTCTCTGGGTGCACTGATAGAAAAGTTCATTTGAGGAACCAAATAAGCCAGGCATGTTTCTGTCATCCGGTGGGCCGCGAGTCTGTAGTGATTATCAAGAACACTGCAGACTGCCTGTCTGTGTCCAGGGCCGCTCAGTGAGTTTGGAGGTTTTGCGGATTAATTTGGTAAAACAGCTAAGAGAAGAGTCATAGTGGGGATTTAATTTTCAAGGTTTCCATCTGGACCGCCAAAATTTTTCGGTTAAATAACCTTGAATAGGGTACCATGGATGACTTGGCGTCAACTGTTCAATATTTGATAACAGTTGTCATGGTAAGCCCCACTCTAGATGGGCACTGAAGGGATTGGATGAGCGCTGAAAACACCTGGGAGTGTGCCCTAAACTTACTGAATATTAGGCTCTCAGATGTTTGCTCCTGGCCGCCAATCGGTAAATCCCGGATCCTTCGGATAATGGTACGAATTGGCCTCATACGACCGAGCGCAGCATTTCACCATAGAACACGTCCATAAGTTTCTGAGTTCCTTCATTTAGTTTGTTTTTTCATTAGGCTAGTGAGTACACCGCAAGTTCTGTCGAGCTCAAGATATGTAACTATATGCGATCGCCGTGGGGGCGCAAAATCTGAGGGAATGAGAGCGTGGTATGCATACTGCTACTCCCGTTGTGTGCTTAACTGGTTGGCTCATTTATCTAGAGGTAGGTTCCTAGCATCTAACTGCCCTGATAGGTTTGACTTTTGGCAAATTTTTGCTTAACGAATTTCGTTCAGAAACTGATTGGGCTCAACTGAAAACCGATAGCTATTGCGCTCTCATAATATCCCTCGAACAAACCAAACTACTCCCGTTCTCTCGAGTGACATAGACACAATATTTCTTCTGCCCTGTTCTAAGAGGCCGATAGATTGCAACTCTCCACCATCTTTTCTATCAAGGCTCCATGTGAAAAAGCCTTACAGCCTCCAAATGTCTCTGCCACTCTCAGGTAGCCGAGCGGAGACCTCTACAGATACCTGACTGCCCAGTTGTAGTAACTAATATCTCAGTCGCGGTTCCACTGAATAACGTTCCTCTCTTCTATTTTTCGGAGACTTCGAGGGTCGAAATGAATGTTTCTAGTCTTAGAATCCTCTTTCAAAAACTGGGAGGCGAATTAACTTGTTTTCAAGTGCTACGATCCATAGCAGGCGCTCTGAGAGTCGATGCGGCATCTGACTTCCAATTCATTCTCCCTTATTGACTTCAATGCATCAAATGCCCACTGGCACCTGAAATTTCAAGCTGCTAAGAATGCTGCCAAAGACCCAAAGGACGGCCGCGCAACACGACTTGACTAAACCGCTTTGCCGTCTGTAGTGGAACCAACCAAAGTACTTTGTTGTCACAGTACTTGTCGCACCCTGTGAGTAGCCTCGATCGAAATTCACGCTGGAAAACTCACGAGAAATGTTGCGGATATCAATATCCCCCCAAAACGCTGTATTTTTGAGTGCTAGCGAACTTCCGGCATCTTCAAGGTCAAACTATAAATAAATCAACGGCCTATTGATTTTCCAAGAAATTTAAATCCGACCACTTACTTACGCGATACCATACTTTTACTGACCTGGGTTCGGAAGCTCGGGGCATCGCCTGTTGATCGCGTGTCTTTGTATCATTAAAGATTGTGTCCGAAGTTTTTCGTCTTCTTACTATCCGCCGTGCTAGGAGTCTGGATCAAGCAACATAGCTGGGGATAGAGTATTGCTACAATCCGCATATCATATTATTTTCTCGCTG